ACAAAGGATCTAAAGGATAAAGCAAAGGAACATGATGCCAAATAAGATCATAGGCAGAACTGTTTGTGCTCAGCCAAAAGGCTGGAAGGATGAGATAGCAGAGGAGTTTGGTGCTTCTTTTAGGTGCTCCAAGGAGGGATTAAGCTATCACCTTTCGCCAAAGGATGGTTCCCTTTTTTCATAAGAGTTAAAAGTATTGTACTTACATTGATCCATGGATATGTCGACCCAGCGTTTTTGGATCAATTTTTTGACTAAAAATTTCTAGACTTATACATGAGTATGTACAGTGTGTCTTAGCATAAGTTGATTAAAATGGGCACATGGCACATGAGACTTGGGTTGGCTTGGCTTTGTGGCTGAAATAGCAACCCAAGCTTGAACGGCAAGGATGATGAGTGACAAAACAATCCTATGCATGTCTACACAAAAGTAAATTCCATTCAATTCAGTAGGAGTTGTTCCCAAATAAGCAGGGACAGGATTGCAGACCAATCCTGCTAATAACCTGAAAGCTGGGACCCGATTTACTCCCCTATTGTAGCTTGTACAATATTGTCTTTCCCCTGAACTGAAAAAATATCAGATGAATGCTGCTGTGTAGCACGCTTTCCTCCAAGAACAGCCTGCTCTGTGTGCAGGTGTGTGTGTGTATGCCGCCGAAATGAAAGGTTGTGTCGAAAGCTCTAGGGACGGCTTTTGTGAAGGGGTTTCATCCTTCAAGTGACAGTAGGGAGGAAGAAGAAGAAGAAGAAAGGGAGGAAAGAGAGAAAGGGCGAAAGTGGGAGAACTGCTGAATAGATTTGCACAGCCAAGTGCATCTCGGGGTTTTTGGCAGTATGCAATTTTTCTGTACAATTGTTATTCAAAATGCACTTTTTAGAAGGACAAAGAGGAAGGCTTTAATGGAACCAAAATACTATGGGCAAAGGCACTGCTGGATAAAGTGATTATTTCCATTACTACGCCTGGAACCGAAGGATGATGTTTCTTAAAAGGGGGAGTTTTCACTTTGCTTGAAGGTGTTGAGTAAAGAGAACAGTTGGGTTGAGGTGTTGCTTTGTTCATGGCCTCCATCATCGGGGGAAAAGTTGGTTAATGGCAACTACCATTTTTCTCAGATTATGGCCTGTCTCTCCTCATCTCTACCAGCAGCACCATGGCATCCAAAGGTGTGCAAGTCCCACTCATCAATTAGAGGGACAGTTCTGTGCATACTTACCTGGGAGTCAGTGCCACTGAAATGAATGAGACTTAATGCCGAGTAAACACTCATAGAGCATTGCACTTCTAAACTCACTCCTCTCTGGGGCAGTGCTATCCAACTGAATAGGATTTACAGTCAACCCTTCTTATCCATGGGTCCTTTTATCCACGGATTCAACTCTCCATGGCTTGAAAATATTCTAAAAATACGTATATAAGTTCCAAAAAGCAAACTTTGATTTTGGAATTTTATATAAGGGACGCCATTTAACTATGCCATTGTATATAATGGGTCTCCAGCATCCATGGATTTTGGTATCCATGGGGGCGTCCTGGAATCAAATCCCAGTGGATACCAAGGACCCATTGTACTTACATGTAGGCATGCATGTAATAGAGTACACAGATAGAGCCAGTGTGGCATAGTGGTTTGAGCATTGGACTTTGACTCTGATGACCAGGGTTCGATTCTCAGCTCGGCCATGAAACCCACCTTGGGCAAGTCACACTCTCTCAGCATTATGGGAAGGCAATGATGGCAAACCCCCTCTGAACAAATCTTGCCAAGAAAACCCCATGATAGTGTTGCCTTAGGGTCATCATAAGTTGGAAACACCTTGTTGGACTATGACGCTGGAGATCAGGGTTCGATTCCCCGCTTGAGCATAGAAACCCACTGGGTGGCCTTGGGCAAGTCACACTCTCTCAGCCTCAGAGGATGGCAATGGCAATCCCTTCTGAAGAAACATGCCAAGAAAACCCCATGATGGGGTCGCCATCAATCAGAAATGACTTAAAGGCACACAGCAGCAACCACAATAGAAATAACATAGTTTAAGAGCACATTAACTGCCATGGCTCCATCCTACAGGATCCTGGGATTTTGGGGGGGGCTCCAGCCTACTTTAGGAGATAAAGATAAAGCTCTTTTGAAACTACCAATCCCAGGATTCAATAGGATGGCAGTACAGCACTTAAAGTGGTGTCAACCTGCATTATTTCTATAGTATAGATGCACACACAGAATAACAGTCAGTGCAGCCACAATATATGCTCCATTGGTCTGGAAGCCCAGCTAACTAGGCTCAGCTACTTTCCAAAGATCTGAAAGGATTTGAGGCCCAAGGTGTAGTTACTGCTATCTAGGCTAAGATAAGAATAATCAGAGCTGCTGGACGTAAGCTGATGATTCCCCATGAGGAAGGAATTATCCCTGCCAAGAGCAGCATTTGCATTGTAGGCAACCCATAACCCGCACTGGGGGCCAGGAAACCTTGTCCTACTCAACCTTGTCTTCTTGCAACTCCCATCCTGCATCCGCAGTCACAGATCCCAGCTTCTGTTGTCTAAATACATGCTAAGAGGAGACCCACCATTTGGAGGCTGCCTTTCATTGCCAGCATAAAAAAATCTGTTCTGCAGAATTGGGAAGGGGGAAATACTGGCAGAGAAAGATGGGTTTTGTTCAGAGAGACAGTGGCTTGGCAGAGAGGCATGAATCATAGAATCATAGAGTTGGAAGAGGCCACAAGGGCCATCCAGTCCAACCCCCTGCCATGCAGGAACTCCCAATCAAAGCATCCCTGACAGATGGCCATCCAGCCTCTGCTTAAAGACCTCCAGGGAAGGAGACTCCACTACTCTCCAAGGAAGGAGTGTGTTCCACTCTGAGGGAGTGTGGCACACTAGCAAATGGTTGTGAGATGAAGATTAATCTGGCTGGATTGGAATAGCAACAGGGGCATCATTAAGGGGATGCGAGAAGGAGTACGGCAGGGGTAGGCAACCTTTCCCCTTTAAGGGCCAAAGGACTTCAGCTCCCAGAAGCCTCAGCCATGTTGGCCAATAGTCCCATGTTGGCCAATAGCTCCTGGGATTCTGGGAGCTGAAGTCCATCGGCCCTTAAAGGGGAAAGGTTGCCTACCCCTGGAGTACGGACTGCAATGGGTGACAGCTCAGAGGTGGGGATGGATATCTGTTTCAAACCTCCTGCTGCCAACCAGGGCACCTCGAATTATAGAAGCATAGCATCATAGAGTTGAAAGAGACCCCAAAGGCCATCCAGTCCAGTCCCCTGCTATGCAGTAACACCGTGGTGACTCTCCCAGATCCTAAAACTACAGGATATTTTTGGCATCTTGTTCAGCCTATCCGAAATTAAAAGTTTTCCAGCCCTCAGTCAGGAGGCATCCTTTCTAAGAAGAAGCATCTGCAAGTACGATATCTGGCCTTCAAATAAGGGGCATGCCGTATAATAAGAGACTCCATGCAACCCTAATGGAGGGGAAGGAGTGAAAAGAGAGCCATGGGCAGCATGAAAAGTAACCCAAGTGTTTCCCTTAATGGAGCGCCTGATCCGCTGAATATGAATGTCCGGTTAGTTTTGATAAACATGACTTCAGAGCCTTCAGAAGTGAAGGCAGGTGGCGATTCAAGATAAGGCCTTATCAGTGATGGCACCTTGACTCCAGAACACCATCCCTAGAGAAGCTATCCTTATTATCTTTCCAGGGCCTCAAGAAGACCTTTGTAACAGGTCTTTTAGATGCTGTTTTGATCTTATTTTCATCTCCCTGGCCAGAGCCTTCACTGGATTTTAATACCAACTCTTGTTTATATTCTGCTGCTTTAATGTTTTAATCGGAGCGTGGCAAAAGTGACTTTTTGGGTCTACAGAGGCCGCTGGCCAGGCTGGCTGGGGAATTCTGAGAACCGTAGTCCAAAAACATTGGCTTCACAAGCTCTAGCCACATTTGGATCTGGTTCTTTGGGTTTTTTATTTCTCAGAGGCCTCGAAAGCCTTGGGAACAGGAGTGGTGGTTGTGTGCCTTCACTTCTTTTCCAGCTTAAGGTGCCAACATGAGGTTTTATTGGTAAGATTTGTTCTGAGGGGTTTTTGCCTTTGCCTTCCTCTGTGGCTGAGAGAGTGTCACTTGCCCACAGTCACCCAGTGAGTTTCCATGACTGAGCAGAGATTCAAACCCTCAAACTCATAGTCCAACACTCAAACCATTACACCTCACTGGCTCTCTTGAATTCCAGGTGAGGTCTAACAGAATACAGTGGCACTGTTACTTCTCTCGATCTAGACACTAAACTCCAACTGATGTAGCCTGGGATCCTATTGGGTTTTTTAGCTGCTGCATCACACTGTTGACTCATGTCTTGTGGTCTGCTAAGACTCCCAGATCCCTTTCGCATGTACTGCTGTCAAGCCAGGTATTACCTGTCCTATATCTGAGCCTTTCATTTTTTTTTCTGCCATACCCTTGAACATTCCACAGTCAAAACCCAGGACATGTATCTCATGTAAACCCGGGATGAGTAAAGTAATTAATGAGAAAGAACGCACAAATTGGGAAGGACTACTGCAATTTGCTTTTGTCTGAGCCTACTGGGAAGTACAAAATCCCACCCCTCCTCTCCTCTCCCTCTGTTGAATTAATGGAGTACCAACTACTTTAGCACTTTCAACTGCATTTGCAGCAGTTGAATTAAACTGAGGACAAAGGGAGAGGAGAGGAAAACTGGGTCATTTGAAAAGCTGCAGGAAAAGTGGGATGGCAGAGGATTAATTGAGATTGTCCATGCCAAATAGAGACAGATGGAAGGTATGCAACCTTAGATCTGCATATCCAAACTCCTGGTTGAGAGCTTCCTCCCTTCCTTCTTGGTCTTTTTGGCTTTCTGCGTTAATATGCAGCAATGAACTGTCTCAGATCAAGGTGATGGAAGGAGCTTTTCCAAACAGAAATCAGAAAGAGCGAGGTCTGTATCCCCAGCAACCTGAGCAAGCTGGTGGTAGATGTTGTTGTTCCACTTTTCCATTTCCCACTCAGTGATTAACATCCAACAATAGCCTTGGTTTAATCCACTCCCTTATATCAGATGGCAAAATGAGATATTGCACGACTCAGCCGGGAGTTAGACGCCCCGTATAAAATACAGCAGGAAGATTAAAAGGCTTCCCGAGATGAAGGCAGAAGAAGGTGTTTATTTATTTACGACTTTTCACAACGCCTGATAATCGAGTAGCAACAGGAACCGAAGCCTCCCTCGGTTTGCAAGGCCATCAATTTGGCAACACTCTCAGTTGACTTCCATGACTTACAGCAGAGTCAAGAGGGGTGCCAGTCCCTTTTGCATTTTGTAAGGTTTGTTGTTGTTGCATGTCTTCAAGTCCTTTCTGACATATGGCAACCCTAAGGTGAACCTATCATGAGTTTCTTCAGAAGGGGTTTCCATGACCAAGCAGAGATTTGAACTCTGGCCTCCAGCGTCATTGTCCTAAACTCAGATACAACACTGGTTCTCATATGCATAAATTAGCATTTAATTTCCTGTCCTTTTGTGGCAATGCATAAGTGGCCACCTTAAAGGAAGTACTTCTGCATGCAAAGCTTGGGGCGTTTTTTTGGCAGGTGTCTTCAGAAGGGATTTGCCATTGCATCCTATGAAGCTGAGAGACTGTGACTTGCCCAAGGTCACCCAGTAGGTTTCCATGGCCAAGCAGGGATTCCAACCCTGGTCTCCAGAGTTACAGTCCAATGCTTAAAGCTGGCTTAATTAGTTAATGGCTATGTAACTAAGTAACTGCTGTAGAATATTGACAAACATGCATCTGAGGAAGTAGGCTCAAGTCTAGGAAAGCTCATGCTACCAGCTTCGTTCTTTCAGTTAGTCTCAAAGGTGCTGCAAGATCTCTTTGCATATTGATGGACATCGGTAAGGTGGGTTGAATGTTGGACTAGGATCCTATGAAGCCAAGATTCAGATCCCTGCTCAGTCCTGGGTGACATTCAACTGTAGAGGAAGGCCGTGGCAAACATCCTCTGGATCAATCTTGCCAAGAAAACCCTAGCAAACCATCACCATATGTCGGAGTCGACTTGAAGGCCCATAAAAACAACAGGACGAGTGTATTTTGTAAAACACAAACTCCACTGTGTGCATTTGGGATAGTGGGCCTCTCTGTTTACCAGTGGGCTTTTGGGCAGGATGGGCATAATGCCGCTTGATTTATGTTAAATAAATGGAAAAAATGGTTTGATGTAGCTAAAAAACCAAAACAATGCACGCATGACCTCCGAAAACCCACTTTCCACTAAGTACGAATCCTCAAATGCTAACCGTTTGAGATTGCGTCTGCAATGATGATTGCCTGTTTGCCGTTAATGATACTATTTCCCCCTGTTAATGTTCACTTCTCGAGAAGGAGGTCAATAAACCTTGTTAAAGGCATTAGCGCTCAGACTGTAATTCCTCTGTGTGTTTACCTATATGAGGAAATAAAGAGGAGAGGGGGGGATCCATTATGGGCACAGAGGAATCGAGAGGCAATGGATGCTTCCGGTTCCTGTGCAAATGCCACCTTCACCCTGGGCAAAGTTATTATGCAGGATGGGAGGAACAATTGGTGCCCTGGCACTGTGTTTGTGAATGAATGATAACCCTCCCAGGCAACTGAGACCTGAAAGGAAGGC